AAGTCTACTTCCTCAGATGCATTTGGAAGTACACTTGTCTACGAAATCTCATGCTGCCAACTTCTTTCTTTAGTTAGTATCAAAGGTGCTGTAAGATCTCTCTATATACTGTTTCTATAAACTAACATGGCTATATCTTTGAATTCTACCATTATGATAATGAATTGTTACTGGGAGGAGTGGAGGATGTTGATTTGTAAATTGTCAATGTTAATTTTTTTTTTAAAAAAAGTGCTTTTGGATCCACAGTATCCATAATCTCTATAAAGAAGGGTGGTCTGTGATTCAAGTGGTGCTGGCAGGGAAATTATCCTAAAATAGGGGCTGAAATGCTCTCGTTACTTTGGCCACAAGCTGATCATGTTTAGAGATTTTTACCAGCCCAAGAACCAACAGTTCTATATATTTCACTCAGGTCCTCAGTTTTGCAATGATAAATCTTTTTTGTTCAATTCCTCAATATACCTTACAATCACACAAAATTTCATATAATATAATATAATATAATATAATTATTTGCAAGGGTTTTTTCAAAGATAAAATGCTTAAGGAACTGAACTGTCACATGAATAAAGAGTTTTATGCATTTTTTCAAAAACATTCCTTCTGGGTTATTTTTTAAATGTACACTTCTTTTATGAATTTTTTTTTTTAAATCCATCTTTCTGGCCATTTCCCCTCTTCTCTGCAGACTGCATGCACATTTTGGAAATGGATGGATTTTGACAACAAACTCCATTCTGGTTTGCACTTTAGGTTTGAGTGTACAAACATGGTTGTATTCCTGTCTACCAAGTTTCCCTTTTCCTGAGCCACCAGTCAGTCACTATGTTTATTGTTTTGAATACAAATCCCTGACTCAGAAGGGAAACATGTTTCTATTGTGTTCATTTCCTTCTTCCTCCCCCGTAGCTATTTCCCAATATTTCCACCTTGTCCTTCTCTGTTCCATAGCCAGTTTTCCCTGTAAAAGACAATGCAGAGCCACATTCAGAAATGCTGAGATCCCAAGTGATGTCAAGTTTAGGAAGTCCAAAAGCATTATCCACTAATGCCCCCAAGTTTTAATTTTTTTTAAAAAAAGATACCTCATAATTTGAAGCTCAGGCTGTAGCTTACTTAGTTTGTGAGTAAACCCAGCACTGGAGCAATATGTACAGCGTTATTTAGTTATATTTATCAATTACACACACACTCACACAATATATCTATATTCATGTGAGTGCAAATGCACATGTCCTATAAACTAGACCAACTCTCCTATATTTGCAACATTTTGTGGTTAACCACTCTCGAGTTGATCTTGACTCATGGCAACCCTGTGGATGAGACATCGCCAAGACTCCCTATCCTCCACTACTCTTCTCAGTTTCTGTAGGTATATATCCATGACCTCCTTAATTGAGTCCATTCATCTGGTCTTTCTCTCTTTCTAATCCCCTCCACTTTCCTAGCTTTATTGTCTTTACTAATAATTCATGTCTTCTCATGATGTGACCAAAGTATGACAGCCTCAGTTTAGACATCTTTGCCTCCAGGGAAATTTCAGGCTTGATCTGTTCTAGGATCTACCTATTTGTTCTTTTTGCTGTCCATGGTATCCTTAGCACTCTTCTCCAGCACCACATCTCAAATGAATTTATTCTTTTTTTGTCCATTTTCTTAATTTAGACATACATGTTTCTATTTATTCTCCATCTGTTAATCATAGGGAAGGTTTGGACACTCTTTTATCCCATGGGATTCTACATATTTTAAGCCCATAAATGCAATATGGGAAATATATCACACTCCATGTTTTTCCTGCACTTGTCTTTCATGATCTTTCTGGAAAATAACAACAGTAGTGGCAATTGTTGTGACTCTGTTTAGTAAAGGCCATAAACATCAGTTTGCCCACACTTAGGACTTTATCACATGGGACGGATCCTGTGCAGAAACTGAATTTAAAGTTGAAAAAAATCCACAAAAGTAGGTAGATTTTCAGATGATGTTGGGGCTTAACCCAAAATGAAAGCAGACAAAGCCCACAAAAGTGGGTTGATTTTCACTCGATGTTGGCATTAATGAGCATTAACGCAACATTAATTCGAACGGAAACAAGACAAAACCTGCTCCTTTTTACGTTCGGAAAATCCTGAAAGTAAAAAGGAGTCGGTTTTGTCTAGTTTCCGTTCAGGTTAATGTCACATTAACCCCATTGTGTCTGAAAAACAACCCGCTTTTGCGGGTTTTTTCTGGCTTTTAAATCCCATTTCTGCACAGGATTTCTGCAGTTTGCCTCCATGTGATAAAGTCCACACTTAGAGCTGTAGCCCAATCTTATATATGCATCATATATTCTGCTTTACACATTAGTAGGTTAAATTCTTGACTGGTTTTTGGTGAGGTTTCTCTCTCTCTCTCTGTTGATAATAATATGCAGTTGAATTAGCTATCTTACAAAAAAAAATCCCAATAACTCAAAATATTGGGGTTCTTAAAATAAAACATATGCACTGAGAAAATCTTTATAGATGTTTCTATGAGAAATTTATCTCAAATTCCACATTTGAATTTCATAGAAATTGAATATGGTTGCAGATCAAAGACTTCCAAAATAGAGTTGATAATCCATAAGAAAAACTTATTTGTGGGTGAGTTCTGTGCATCTAAGTTTGTATCAAAGTTGGAGGGATCACTTCTTTGGGCTACAACTGTCATTGACCATGCTGAGGGGAGAGTATGGTAGTTATAGTCTGAGAAGTAACTTCTCCAAACTCTGAGCATCCTGCTTCCTCAAAATGAGAGAGAGGGTCCACATGAAGCATGCAGAGGAAGTGTGAGGAAACAACCTTCCCATATCAGCTTTGCCTTGCTTTGTGGTTTGCAGCTTTTTTGAAACATTTCCCCAAACACATTCTGATATTAGAGGTACACTCAGCAGAGGAAAAACTGCTTAAATCTATCAATCAAAGTAAGATAAAGTAGGGGAAGGATAGATTTAACTTCTCCCTGGCCCATGTCTTTTAGTATAAGGAGAGTCCTTTCCACATATGCAGGCTTAAGATTCAAGCAAATGTTCTGTATGTCTGATTTGGCCTTCAGGAAACCTATACACTTGTATTTGATTATGGGTGGTGGGCTTCATAATCTTTTTCTGTTTGTTTCTCGTGTGTCTCAAAGTGTATTCCTCACCATGACTTAATCTTTCTGACTCACTAATCTATTTTTAAACAGGCAGGAAATGAGCGTCTTGAGAACTTCTTTCTTTGAACTGGAATGGCAGGAGCCAACACAATTGCAGGATGAAGAAGTGTCAGCCTGGATTAAATTTTCTCTCCATCTGATTCCCTCCCCCCTTGCCACACACATAACCTGACAAATCTAGTCTGTCAAGACAAATACATTCTGGACATGGCAGGGCGGCAGACCTTATGTTTGTATTAAACGGTAACCTTTCCATTTGTTCTTGCATCTTCAAATGCATTTTAACATTTTACACTGTTATATTACTGAAAAGTTTACTCCACCTGCTACATATGCTGCTGCAGCCTTCAATTCTCAATTTGGACTGTCCCCAGCTGTTCTGTTTTAGGGATAAGGCTGAGAACCTTTGTAAAGTTCAGCCTAAAGCGCAGATCACATTCAGTACCACAGTGACATGGAAGCCACCAGGTGCCACTGCAAATAATATGTTTGGATTTAAAAAAAAAAAAGTGAATAACATATATTCTCTCTGCTAAGTAACACCAGTTGAATAGATCCCCTTAATAAAGAAGTTAACAGAGAAGTTGGAGAAGTTACTTGCAGCCATGTTTGCTGGGAGATTCAGAGAGCTGTTGTTCAAACCCTTTTTCCAATCTCCACCCATATGTACAGTATCAATATACTGCCTACAATATATTGATATTATGTGTGTGTGTGTGTGTGTGTAGAATAAATTTAACTACCAAATTTATACTGCCTAAAAGGTAACATATTTGGATAAATATATGTTACCTTTCTGAACAACTCTCCAAACCACCAGTACCCCTGCCAATATGTCTCCCAAAGTAACTTTTCCAAGCTTTGTTAAGATATTGTATCCAACCGGTGTTACATAGCTGATGGGATGCTTTTTGATCCAGCAGAAGTGTCTATTTGTAGATCCTACAAAACTATGTGGGAGAGTCAATGGAGGCAAACACCAAAAATTGCTGCCTCTGTTAAAGAGTCCTCCATTGGTCAAAGACCATTCAGCCAGCAAAGCAACATCAACTGAATACAACCAAAGGAACAGACATTCATCCAGATTAGGTCACCAAGATGACTTCCATGAAGTGCAGAATATCAGATGGCTATCTATGCAGCTCTTCATGTTTATTCTTTTTCCTTAATAGGCATTCACTTTTAAGGCAGAGATGAACTAAGAAGGATGTGGGAAAGCGGGTTGAAACTTAATGAACTGCAACTGTCATGGATGGCTGTGCACACAGACACAGAGCTCAAAAGGCATCCCAGAATCTCTCCTGAAGACAAAATAGGGCCACTTATTAGTAGTCCATGTGACAGACAATTAAGATTGCTCCGGTTTGGTAAGATTCATTAAGCAAAGGTCATAGAGGTTCAGTGGGCACATATTTCATGATTTGGATTGGGTACCTTTAGCCCAACCTTCTTAGTAGTAATTCTCAGGGGTAGTGAAGCTGCGTATAGATCAAGACCCCAGAACTTTATTGAATAACTCTCCATTCATGAACTTGCCTGTATCTTAGGATCAGTATCTGGAGCCACCATTCAAGCAGCTCAGAGGTTGGGGAGAAACTTTTCAGTTGTATTCTCCCCCTAAATATTCTCCCCAGTGTGGCTTGTCTATCCTGAAACTGTAATTTTTGCAGTGTCAGATTATGACATTTATTTATTCCTAGGTATTTGGTAGGATGTATCTGATCAGTTTTTAAACACTGTCATAATGCTAATTTATTATCCCTATTACTTGTCATTCTTTGGTAGAGAGTTATTATTTGATAGGTAGGAGAGCTACCATGATATAGTGGATATAGTGTTGGAGTACAACTCTGGAGATCAGGGTTCAATTCCCTGCTTGAGCATAAAAACCCAATGGGTGACCTTGGACAAGTCACACTCTCTTATCTTCAGAGGGTGGCAGTGGCAACCCCCCTCTGAAGAAACTTGCTAAGAAAACCCTATGATAGGGTTGCCACAAACAAAAAATTATTTGGAGGCACTCAACAGGAACAAATATTGCTTACGTTGCTTTCGGTTTTAACATGGACATATTTTCATTGTTGCAATATATCTCGGATCTTTTCAGAAAATGACAGCTCATGGATTCAGTAAACCTAACTACCACTGCCCAAGATTCTGTTTTGCTGAAGACATGTGGACCGCACTTGGGCAGCTCCGTGATATAAAGAGCTAGACCAACAGCAGTCAGACATCACCCTGTTATTTAAAGCAAGGGTTGGAAACTGCTAGGGAGTCACAGACCATACCCCCCTCTTGCACAGGCCATTACCCCGCACAGCAAATCCAAATGCCCCCATTTTTCTCTGCAGTTCTCAAAACACAAATAAAGAAGGAAAATTGAGGATAATATGGGGTTCTTGGCTGTTTGTGGGCAATATGGCGGAGGTATTTTCACATGTTTTCACATGTTTGAGAAGGACTTTTTGTTTTGTGGGTTTGGGGCAAAAGTTGCTCCCAAAGTATGCCAATTTTTAAAAATGTGATAAGAGGACTTCCAAAGTGGGGTCCAGGAGCTGCATGAAGCCCATGGGCAGACTTTGCCCACCCATGATTTAAAGGGAATGAGGTAAGACACCTTGATTGTACACGGAGCTCTGTAGAAGTCTGCTATATCATGCATTGGGCTTATAGGGAGGAGATCATTTTTTTTCTATGTGTACCAGGCAGCCAAGGAAGTCAAAATATGTTTTTCAACACTCGTGATTTTTACTAGATGGCAATACTTGTTAAAATAGGGATGAGAATAATGAGGCCCTCCAGATGTTTCTGTATTGCAACTCCCAGCATTCTACACCATTAGCAATGCTGGCATGAGCTGTTGGGTGGTGTAATCTAGCATCCTTTAGAGGGCTGCAGATTACCACCCCTGTGTTAAGGACATCCAAAATTGATGGAAATAAGCAATAAAGATAAAGGTAAATATTTCCCCTTTGACAAGATTGTCTAATCATGTCCGACTATAGGGGGTAGTGCTCATGAGTACCCAACTGTTGGGGGGCAATGAGCTTACAGTTGTAAACTGCTTAGACATCCCATAGCGCAATATGAAGCGGTATATAAATGAAGCTGCTTTGCTAAAATAAAGCTGCACAGAACACTGTTTACCTTCCCACCAAAGTGGTGCAGCTTTATTTTAGCAAAGCAGCTTCATTTATATACCACTTCATATTGCACTATGGGATGTCTAAGCAGTTTACAACTGTAAGCTCATTGCCCCCCAACAGTTGGGTACTCATTTTAGCGACCTCAGAAGGATGCAGACTTGAGTCTAGCCTGAGCTCTGGCTAGTATTGAACTTGCAACCTTGTGGTTTATGAGTGAGTGGCTGCAGTACAGGCATTTAACCACTGTGCCACCAGGGCTCTTCAAGTAGATGCCCATTTATCTACTTGCACTTTTACATGGTTTTGAACTGCTAGGTTGGCAGAAACCAGGACTAGGGACAGGAGCTCACTCCATCACATGGCACTTGAACTGCCGGTCTGCTGACCTTGCAATTGTCAGAGTCAGCATCTTAATCTCTAAGCCACCAGATCACCTAGGAAATAATCAGTGCTTGCTTTAAAACACATCCATCCACCCATGTATCCATATAGAATCACAGAATCATAGAGTTGGAAGAGCCCACAAGGGCCATCCAGTCCAACCCCCTGCCATGTAGGAATACACAGTGAAAGAACTTCTGACAGATAGCCATCCGGTCTCTGTTTAAAGACCTTCAAAGAAGGAATCTCCACCACTCTCTGAAGGAGTGTGTTTCACCATCCAACAGCTCTATTGAAACTGACAGTTGGGCCAGTCACGAATAGGAAAATAATAGATTGACCATGCAACCCTTAAATGTTTTGTGTCTTCAAGTCAATCCTGCCTTTTTATCATACCTTGGCAAGATTTCTTCAGATGAGGTTTGCCATTGTTTACATCTGAGGGTGAGAGAGTGGAAATTGAAAACCTGGTCTCCTGGAGTCCTAGTTCAACACATGTCTACTCAGAATTAAGTACCACTGAGTTCTGTGGAGCTCAATCCCAGAAAAGTAGTAAGGGAATTCAATTTGAAGATGGTTTATCAGTGGTTTTAAAAGAAATAGTCTCTGAATATTGTTTATTTGTGGTTCACAAGCTGGGTGAGGATTTGCCACTCTGCCTCTTATGCTGTTCTCCTTATGCAGATGTGATGTCTGTTTAGGATCATGATTGCTGGTCTCAAGTCCACTATGGACCAGTCCCCAAATCCTCAATGAAATAATGACTTGGGGATTATCAGAGTTGCAGTTTCATATATCCTGTCTGCAAGAAATATCTGAGCCAATTTTATCTGATGGCAGTACACAGCAAATCTACCTTATTGATTATTTTATTGCATTTCATGGCACATGAATCATTTGTGGTGTCTTTATATTTTATTTTTGGGATGTCTTGGTCTTTAACTTGGTCCTTAATAAATCTGACTGAAACTAAAGGGAGATGACAAAACAAGGCAAAATGTTAGCTGGCTGGATAATTTATCCAAGGTCTGTGGCTCATTTACAAATGTAACGGACATTAGCTGGAGGTGACGTGGCCAGTGCCTGCAATGCAGCAAGCTTTGTGCTGTGTCATCCAGATGGAAAACCTGATCCCTATTATGAGTCAAAAGAATCTCAGTCAGCTTGTTGAGCACTGAAGTGCACTTTGTCAAGAGTGGAAAATAAAAGATGTTGTTTTGATGCACATGCACACAACCTTGCCCAACATATAGTCTGTTTTTTTTTTAACAAAAAGGATATGTAAGTGCTATGGGTATTATCGTATCAATGTAACAGTTTTTGGAGAGTTGAAGGTGGGGGGAGAGAGATACCTTTGACCATTGACACCCAATATATGTTCATACAGGGGTAGCCTACCATTAGCTTCTACCATTAGCCTTACAGCAGATGAACCACCTCCCCACAGTTATGTCTATCTGTTGAATGACAAAGCTCTATATGCTTCATGGATTTTCCTTGGTCAGTTTCTTCAGGTAAGATGCTAATTGTTGCTTCTAGTAACATCTAATTTGGCACCTAAAATTTTCTTAATGCAAAAGCATGGAGGGTTGTTTTGAGAGCTTCAATGTTCTCTGCCTAACAAAGGAGCTTATCACGCTGCTAAATAAAGCATTTTACCTGTCCTGAATTCAATTTTAATTTTAGCTGCATCCAGACCCTATCGCAGCAATTTTGTCACCAAAATCACCACCTGGATCCAGCCCTGGTCCAAGGAGTGCTGCAGCGGCATAAGTCGGAAAACTCCTGGTTTCGAAAAGATGCACGCTGAACGCCCCTGGGACCTGGACTGGACCTGGGCTGGATGCAAGCGGCGGTTTCAGCAGCAAAATCGCTGTGACAGGGTCTGGATGTAGGCTGAATTAAGATTGAATTTAAGACAGGTAAGATGCTTTAATTTAGTGGTGTGATAAGCTCCAAAGAGGGCTGTGACCTTGCAAAGGATGGAGATGTCTTGGATCTCAGAAGTACCACTTTGTATTGCTAATGGAATTCAGATTTTATCTCCTGGATGTTGGACTGCTTTGTTTCCGGGGCCACATTGCCAGAAGGAGGAGGGGCCTGCTTGCATAGATATCCTTCCACAGAACAACACAACAGCAACACCTTAAGAAAATGCAGGCCTGTGCTTAATAACACCTTTTTGTCCCCTCTTGTATAATTTTTTAACACCTTTGCCTGATGAAGAAGCCAGTGGAGCTTGCATCATGTATTTTGTGCATTTTGTTTGGCCAGATAAAGGTGTCACTGTTTTGTGGATTTTGGATGTCATTGTAGATGTTACTAGGGAAGCATTACTGCCCTAGGGCAGCACCTCTGAGTCTTTTCTCTGTGGCTGCATCTATGCTGCAAAATTAATGCCGTTTGACACTGGTTTAACTGCCATGGCTCAATGCAATGGAATTCTGTAGTTTTGTGATATATTTAGCATTCTCTATCAGAGCGCTTTGGTGCCACAACAAACTACAAATCCCAGGATTCCATAGGATGGAGCCATGATACTTAAAGCAGTGTCATTAATTCTTCAGTGTGGCAGGAGCCTGTGTCTTTGAGGTGATATCTAGTAAAATAAGGTGCTGGTGCTCAGAATTTCCTTACATTTTTACATTCCTCTACATTCATATATTGTTTGTAGCTCAACATTTCTTGAGAAAGGTAGGAAAGGAATGCAGGTGTTCCATACCTGATAGCAACCACATATGCCTACTTTTCTGCTTGTTCTGTTGTATAAGAACGAGGATGGATGAGACTTTAATTTCAGTTAAATTTCAACCAAAAATAAGCAAAACACACAAAATCTGAATGTGAGAGAAAGTGAAACAGGCAGATTTGCTCATTCATAAAGGCCTGACATTCTTAACAGGTCAGTTGAAAACATTTCTGGTTACATATATGTGAGAAGCAATTCTAGGATAGAATTATGTTTTATATGGGCTTCTTCAGTTACTCAACTAGAAACACATCTTGGTAAGAGAAGAAAATCTTGTGGATCATACCCACTACAAAATAACCCGGTGTGGAAACTGGGTTATTTTGTGATCGAATCTCTCTGGGGCCATTTACTCCCCTTTTACTCCCCTTTGTCATTCACACTTGAAGTGAGGAGAGGAAAAATGGCTGCGAGGGAGGAGGAGGAGGAAAGAAAAGGCAAACTCCTTCTGAACAAACCTTGCCAAGAAAACCAACGACAGACTTGAAGGCACACAACAACAACAATAGAGGAGGGGTGGTGGCATGGCAGGAAGGCTTGTATGAAGGAGAGCATGGGTTTGCCTTCTCTTCCTTCCTCTGTCTTTCCCAGCTCAGCCATGGAAACT